ACTATCCAAAATGATCTATAGACTTAATGCAATCCCTGTTAAAATATCAATTATGTTTTTCACAGAAATGGAAAAACTTATCCTAAAATTCATATAGAATCTCACAGGACACTGAATAGACCAAACAACCCTGGAATAAAAAGAGTGAGAAAAGTTAGAAGATTCACACGTCCCAATTTCAAAATTTACTACAAAATTACAGTGATCAAAACTGTGTAGTGTGAGCATAAAGACAGACATACCATTTAATGGAATGGAGCACAGAAATATACCATCACATATTGGGTGAGATGATTTTCATCAAGGGGGCCAAGACCATTTAATGGGGGAAAATACAGCTTGTTCAATAAATGGTGTTGGGAAAACTGGACATACTCATGCAAAATAATAAAGTTGGACTCTTTTTGTAAAAAATAATTATTTATTTTTTAATTTTTAAAATTTATTCATTCATGTATTTTAATTTGACCAGTAAGAGAGAGAGACAGAAAGCAAGAAAGCAAGTCACCAGGTCCAGGATTCAAACCGTGGTCAGTCATGTGGGAGTGCCCAGCACCTTAACCACCATGCCACCTGCTGGTCTCCAGACTCTTATACCAACACAAAAACTAATTCAAAATATATCAATGACCTAAATGTATGGCTTAAAAACTATAAAACTTAAAACAGAGCATAAGGTTCACTGCATTGAATTTGGCAATGATTTCTCAGATATAACAAAATAACAGGCAACAAAAGAAAAAAAAATAGACAAATTGGAATTCAAAAATGTATTTTTTAATTTTCTGCATCAAAAGATGCTATCAATAGGGCCAGCAAGTGGCATGGAGGTTAAGGCAGTTAAATCCCACATGGCCAGCTATGTGGTTTCAAGTCCCAGATCCAGTGGCTTAAAAGTTGATAGGAAAATGCTAAGTCAGAAAAGTGATTGCATATCTATGTTTATTGTGGCATTAGTCACAATTGCTAACAAGGAACCAACCCAAATGTCCGTGAACAGATGAATGAATTGAAAAAGTATGGTGCATATACTCTATGAAATACGACTCAGCCATAAAAAAACAAGACCCCAGAATTTGATTCCAGTGGCTTAAAAGTTGATAGGAAAATGCTAAGTCAGAAAAGTGATTGCATATCTATGTTTATTGTGGCATTAGTCACAATTGCTAACAAGGAACCAACCCAAATGTCCGTGAACAGATGAATGAATTGAAAAAGTATGGTGCATATACTCTATGAAATACGACTCAGCCATAAAAAAACAAGACCCCAGAATTTGATAGAAAGTGGGTAAGTATGGAAGATTTACTGCTGAGTGAAGCAAGCCAGGCTATGAAAGAGAAACATTGTATGTCTCCACTTTACATATACTCATTGTCCACACTCTATGGTGGAAACTGAAAGATTAGAGGATATGGAAGCATTGAAAATGGTTATGGATACTGGAGACAATGTGGGAAGAGGATGGGAGACAGGGAGAGTGTAAGGAAAGAAATTTAGGCTGAAAACAGAGAAGCAAGACATTTATGGGACACAGAAATGGATTATCTGTTGATGATAATTTGTTTTGTATCTTCAATTGGACAGGTGTGAAGTGTAATCATGTTGGACAAATTTAATTCATATGCTAAGGGATGTATAGTGATTAAGTATATAAAATAAATCACACCAGGTGCATGTTTGTTCATGCCCACAATCTCCAGAGGTGAATAGAGGAGAAGGGAATGTGGCATGGCCATCCCTCCTGGGGAGCAATTTCTTATTTTCTCTTTTTCTCTATCTTCAGCAAATTCATATGCCCTATAGCAAACAAACAAACAAACAAAGTAAAAATTAAAAATTCGTGCTATGAATAGAGTGAAAAGCCAACCCATAGAACTGGGAGATTTTATTTTTAAATCATATATCTGATAAGCTATTAATATATAGAGAGCTCCATCAACTTCTTTAAGACTTTTCTCAACTATTGTCTTCTCCACTAGATCTTCCCTGACATTCCTACTTACAACATCTCCCATCCCACACTCCTTAGCCTATTTTCCACGGTACTTACTTTTTCTAACATATTATCTATGTTTCTCCCCCATCAGAATGTAAGTTTCATGAGGGCAGATATTTTTGTCAATCTGGTACTAACACAGAGTAT